TTTTTTTTTTTATCCCATATAAATTAAGGCCTGACATATTTTTCCACGGTAGTTGGGAATGCTAGAAAAGAGAGAGCCGTTGTCGGAAGTCACAGGGAAGATTTGCACACTAGTCAACGCTAGAATCCGTGCATTTTGGGATACTTATTCTTGTAAACCTGCCACCACAAAGGTTCTATTTGTTATTTGTGAAAACTAGCAAAACAATGGGCATTCGATTTTCAAAGTTTGTTATCTTCATCCTCTTACAGCTTTTCTTCTCTGGTTTCTCATATGGAACGGATATCATCACCTCATCCACCAATCTTAGTGATGGCAGAACCTTAGTTTCTAGTGATGGAAGCTTTGAACTGGGGTTCTTTAGTTCTGGAAGCTCTAGCAAGGGTCGTTACTTGGGAATTTGGTACAAGAATATCTCAGTTCAAAATATTGTTTGGGTTGCAAACAGGTGCAACCCGATGAATGATTCGTCTGGTATTCTGATGATAAACAACACAGGCAATCTGGTACTCCTCAGTCAAAATCGGAGTGTTGTTTGGGCATCAAACTCAAAGAGAGAAGCTCAAAACCCAGTGGTGCAGCTCCTGGATTCCGGTAATCTTGTTTTACAAGATAGAATTGCTGGTAAATCAGAAACATTTTTGTGGCAAAGCTTTGACTATCCCACTGATTCTTGGCTGCCTGGGATGAAATTTGGATGGGACTTAAGTACTGGTCTTAATCGACGACTATCGGCATGGAAGTCCCCAGATGATCCATGCCCTGGAGACTTAAGTTATGGGATGGAGGTATTTAATTATCCTGATCTTGTTATGTGGAAAGGCTCAAAGAAGTATTACCGGGTAGGCAATAGGATTGGCATTGCACCGAGCGGTTTGCCACGGATTGTGCCAGATCAGTTTTTTACAATCAATGGCATCTCAAATGAAAACGAGTCTTACCTAATCTACTACCCCAAAACCAAATCAGTAATCACGAGGCTTTTTTTGAACCAAACTTCCAGTAGTGCGGAGCGCATCATATGGAATGAAGAAGGTAGAACTTGGATAGTGTATAGTCGCTTTCCAAGTGATGACTGTGACATCTATGGGACTTGTGGAACATATGGGACCTGCCTCAATACAGCAATTCCGCCTTGTCAATGTTTGAAAGGTTTCAAGCTAAAATCACAGAGCTGGCATTCAGTGGACTGGTCTCAGGGTTGTATGCGCAATAACCCATTAAACTGTCAGAAAGGAGATGGATTTAAAAAATTTGGTGCGTTGAAAATGCCTGATGCTGCACATTCTTGGTTGTTTAAAGGTATGGATCTCAATGAGTGCAGGGTTAAATGCTTAGAGGATTGTTCTTGTATGGCCTATGCAACCTTGGATATTAAGGAAGACAGAGGCTGTGTAATTTGGTTTGGTGATCTAATTGATCTTAAACAGTTCCAATCTGCTGGACAGGATTTATATATTCGAATGTCTGCTGCTGATTCAGGTATTGGTTTACTTTTGGTTCAGCCTAACAATTCAGTGTTTCATTAAGTTATGTTATGATTCCTATTTATGTAGGTGTTCCTAGTTCTATTTTCAGTCAAATTGTGCAACTATTTCATTGCTATGACTCTAATTTATATATTTCTTTATTTTATGGAATTAGACCATGAAGAGACAAAAGGCAAGACTAAAATGATGGCTACACTAATTATTGCAGCTGCCATTCTTGTAGTTATTAGTGTTTTTGTAATCACCTATTACATTTGCAGGAAGTGTCGTAACATAGAAGGTATGTTTCTTTGCCTTTACAAACCACATGGCAATTAAATATAGGTAGCAACTTCCCTTCCGTTTTGATTAAATTTTTCACCCTTTCAGAAAGAGAAATTGGCCAGAGCAATGAAAGGCAAAATGAAGATTTGGAACTTCCACTTTTTGAGTTTGTTGTAATATCCAAAGCCACTAATGATTTCTCTTCTGACAAAAAGCTAGGAGAAGGCGGTTTTGGGCCTGTATACAAGGTACATGTTCGAAACATTAGTAAAAATAAGTACTATGATGACAAGTCGTCTCTGCAAAGAAATGAACTTTAAAGTACAATTTTGCAGGGTACTCTATCAAATGGAAGAGAAATTGCTGTGAAGAGGCTCTCAAGTATCTCTGGACAAGGATTAGTTGAGTTCAAGAATGAAGTAGCACTTATAGCCAAACTTCAACATCGGAATCTTGTAAAACTTTTAGGATGCTGCATTCAGGAGGAGGAAAAGATGTTGATTTACGAATTTATGCCTAATAAAAGTTTAGACTACTTCATTTTTGGTTCGGATTCCTATGAGACCTTTTTAATTTACTTAGGAGTAGCATAAATTCATCACAAGTTGTTTTCATTTTTTAATATACTCTTTTTCAAAAAGTCTTGTTGATCACTACATTAATATGAAGAACATATTGAATGATGTGCAGATGATACTAGAAGGAATCTATTAGACTGGCCAAGGCGTTTTCACATTATTTGTGGAATTGCTAGAGGGCTTCTTTATCTACATCAAGATTCTAGATTGAGAATCATCCATAGAGATATCAAAGCTAGCAATGTTTTGCTTGATAATGAAATGAACCCCAAAATTTCAGATTTCGGATTGGCTAGAACATTTGAAGAACAATCAGATGGGAGAACAAATAGAGTGGTTGGAACCTAGTAAGTCCTAACTCTATACTACCTAATTTACTACAAAGCTCCCATTAATATAATTTGTCTTATTTGTTTTTTACAGTGGTTATATGGCACCAGAATATGCAATTCATGGGCAATTCTCAGTAAAATCTGATGTTTTTAGCTTCGGTATATTGTTGTTAGAGATAATAAGTGGAAAGAAGAATAGAGGGTTTTACCATCTTAGCCATAGTGTTAACCTTACTGGACAGGTAAGTATCAAGATTCAGAACCTAAACTTTTATTTTATTTTTTTTTTTTTTGGTTCCTTTTTGATAGGGGTGGGCGGGGTGGTTCGGTCCCTTGTGGGGATAGGGGGAGGGCTAACATGGCCATAGGGTAAACGGTAAACCCTTTGTGCTTTGAAGCCTTTCTTATGCCACTGGACCGGTATGCTCATTCAACACCAACATTCTTACTTTTTTTAACTAGAAAATGACAGAAAGTTTATAATATGTTTTAGGCATGGAGATTGTGGAAAGAAGGACATCCTTTGGAACTGATTGATTCATTTGTAAAAGAATCTTGCACTCAATCTGAAGTATTAAGGTGTATCCACATTAGTCTCTTATGTGTTCAGCAACAGTCTGAGGATCGGCCAAGTATGTCGTCTGTAGTTTTGATGTTGGCTGGTGAGACTGAATTAGTGCAACCCAAAGAACCTGGTTTTCTTTTTGACGAGAAAACCCTCCAAATAGATTCATCATTCGCTATGTTTGAATCAACTTCAAGAAACGAACTTAGCCTCTCAGAGATGGAGCCTCGATAAAAGGTTACATGAGCGGTACATGCCTCTTCCTATCTATGTTACCTAATGTTCCTTTCTTTTTTTTTAAACGAATGCCTGCCGTGTACCTTAACCATTATTTACACATAATTTATCTTGTTTGATTATTTGAACATAATTATGTGATAATTATACTGTTTGATTCTTAATACTTAATTCATGGTTAAATGTCAATCTTGGTCTCTCAACTATGAAAAGTGTACTTTTTAGTCCTTCTACACTTTTAATCCTTCCTTCAATTAGTCTATTATGTTTGTCTCAGTATATACATTTTTAGTTCATGAATTTATAATATATGTATATTTTTTGTCCAGAACTAAAATATGCAGGTTTAAACAAACTTAAAAGACTAACCGATGAAAGGATTGAAAAAAGTACATTTTTCAAAAAAGTATATTTTTGATAGTTAAGGGATCAAAAGAATATATAAAAAAGTTAAGAGATTAAATTATGTAAAATTTTAAAGTTAAGAGATTAAAATTAACATTTAACCCTTAATTCATTGCGCAACATAATTCAGAAGTCACTTCATACATGAGTAGAAATCTATTTATACTTAAGTTTTATACATTATATTTATATAAATTTCCAATCATTCATATTTCTATTTTTAATAATTAAGATTTATTATTTTTTATCATATTTATTAAAAATAATTATTTATTTTATTTGAAAAATCATAATAAATTTTCACTATTAAAAGTAGAAAGTTGATTAGTTAAAATTTTATGTAAATATTATGTATAAAACTTATATGTAAATAAATTCATTTTCTATATATATATAATGAGATAGGATCTACATATATATTTCTCATTTTTCATATTTATACAAAATTTTGATCATTCAATTTATTTACTTTTAATTGTTAAATTTATTCATATTTATCAAAAATATTATTTTTTAATCTAAAAATCATAATAAATATCAAATATTAAAAATAATGAGATAAATTGTTTATATTTTTTTATATTGAGTAGCAAAATAAGAGTGAATCCTAACAAATTTCAACTTGTCTTGTTCTTGGGATTGATGTTTCACAAGTTCAAACAAGTGTGGTTTCTTAAGCCAAAACCTCATCGTTTAAACGTGATCCTAATCTAGGCTTCCTCTCTAAAACGGTGAAACCCAGAAGACTCCCATAAAACTATATAACGCCCAGAGAGAAGAAAAGAAGCCCCAAACAAATCAAGGATGAGTATAGACTATTGCCAGCCGTCTGCTGCATAGGAACCAAAAAGAGCTAAATTTTCAAAATTTAGGAACCAAATCACGAATTTTTTTAATTTAGTAACTAAGTCAGGTATCTGGACAATAGTTGAGGGACCAAATTGAGGGTTTAACCAAAGTATGGACTACTCTCCGCCGGCTGCTAAATAGAGAAACGACCCGGCTTCATGGATCCGATCAGCAGAATGCATCCACACAGAGAGACAATGGACTATGTTCGGATCCCTGATTTTCTCAGGAAAGTGAGGGAAAATGAAATCTCTCCTCTCTTTTTACATGCTAACTCCTGGTCTTCTTGCGCGCTGGGGTTTCCAAAGGTCGGATTTTTGGGATTGGTGAGTTCACGGCCCTAATATCACTAGCGCTGTTATTTATATTGCTGCTCAGCCTCAGCCTCAGCCTCAGGTATATATGCATTAAGCAAATTGGTTTCTGGGTATTTATTTATTATTGAGTATAATATCAAAATTGCTTGCCGTCACTGTTTGGTTGCTGAGAAAGTTGGGGAAAAGTGAAAATAATTTTCTGGCCCCATTTCGTGGACTAAATTACTAAACTTTTGACTGTTGTTGTTATTAAATTGTTTTCGTATAGAAATTTAGGTCCAATTGCAGTGTTTTTTCCGGGTAGGGGACTTCTAGAAAGCGTTGTTGACGGGGACTGCAGGCAAAACTTGCACACTAATTCACACTCAAGACTCCTGCATTTGGGATATCTGTCCTAACCTGCCATTATAAATGAAGGTTCTATTTGTTATTCATGGCAAATTGCAAAACAATGGTTATTCGATTTTTAATGTTTATTATCATCATCCTCTCATTGCCCTTCTTCTCTAGATTCTCATATGGAATTGATACCATCACCGTATCCAACAATCTTAGTGATGGCAGAACTTTTGTTTCTAGTGATGGAAGCTTCAAATTGGGGTTCTTCAGTTCTGGAAGTTCTGGTAAGAGCCGTTACTTGGGAATTTGGCTCAGGAAAATCCCAGTTCAAACTGTTGTTTGGGTTGCAAACAGGTGCAACCCGATAAAGGATTCGTCTGGTGTTTTGATGATAAATAGCACAGGCAATCTGGTTCTCCTCAGTCAAAGCAGGAGTATTGTTCGGGCATCAAACTGAAATGAAGAAGCTTGAAACCCAGTCGTTCAGCTCCTGGATTCTGGAAATCTTGTTCTACAGGATAGAAATGTGGGTATTTTGTGGCAAAGCTTTTACTATCCTACTGACACTTTGCTGGCAGGGATGAAATTTTGATGGAACTTAAGGACTGGTCTTAATTGACAGCTATCAGCATGGAAGACCCCAGATGATCCATGCCCTGGAGAACTTATGGGATAGAGCCATATAATTTTCCCGATTTTGTTATGTGGGAATGCGCAAGAAAGTACTACCAGACAGGCCCCTGCAATGGCATTGGAATGAGTGGTGCACTCCACTTGAAGCCCAATCCATGGTACAGGTTTTACTTCATCTCAAATGAAGAGGAGGTTTACTACATTTATCACCCAATAAACAAATCTGTAACCACAAGACTCATTTTGAACCAAACATCTAGTAGGGGGGAGCACTACACGTGGAATGAAGAAGCCAGCACTTGGACATTGTACAATCAGTTTCCATGGGATAATTGTGACAACTATGGGACTTGTGGGGCATATGGGAACTGTTTGAATACAGCGCTGCCACCTTGTCAATGTTTGAAAGGTTTCAAGTTTAAATCACAAGAAGGGAGCTCAGTGGACTGGTATCAAGGTTGTGTGTGCAATAAACTGTTAGACTGCCAGCAAGGAGATGGATTTAAAAATTTTGGTGGGTTAAAGTTGCCAGATGCTGCACATTCTTGGGTGACTAAAAGGATGGATCACAATGAGTGCAGAGCTAAATGCTTAGTGAATTGTTCTTGTATGGCCTATTCAACCTTGGATACTAAAGAAGCCAGTGGCTGTGCAATTTGGTTTGGTGATCTAATTGATCTTAAACAGGTCCAATCTGCTGGACAGGATTTATATATTCAAATGTCTGCTGCTGATTCAGGTATTGGGTCACTTTTGGTTCAGACTAGCATTTCAGCATTCATTAAGTTGTGTTTTCTTTCTTGTTTATGTTGGGTGTTAGCAGTTTTATATTTGGTGAATATGTGAAACAATTTCATTGCTATGACTTCATATATTTTTTTCTTTTCCCTATCAAATTAGACCATGAAGAGACAAAAGGCAAGATTGAATTGAAGGCAGGACTTATATTCGCAGCTTTCATTCTTTTAGTTATTGGTGTTCTTGCAATCAACTATTACATTCGCAGGAGCCGTCAAAGCATGGAAGGTATGTTTCTTTTCCTGCACAAATAATGTTGACATTAAATTTTGATATCAACTTCCGTTGGTGCTTTTCTTACCATTTGCTTTTCATCATATTCTTCACCCTTCTAGGAAGAAAAAATGACTGGAGCAATGCAAGGCAAAATGAAAATATGGAACTCCCACTACTTGAGTTAGGTGTAATATCCAAGGCCACTAATGATTTCTCTTCCCACAACAAGCTAGGAGAAGGTGGCTTTGGGCCTGTAGTATTCGCTTTATTGAACTCACATCCATTTTGTATATGTTCTTGCACCCACGAATTTACTGTCATTGTCATACTACACCAGAAATTAGGAATTGGGAGAATTGGGTTTTTCCACAAGGGTATTAATGAGATGAATCAATAAATTTAGTTATATATATATATATATATATAT